CTGGCCCCGGCTCCTGCCAACTTAGCAGTTCGAAAGCAAGAAACTGCAAGTAGATAAAGAGGTACCGCTTCGGTGGGAAGGGAACAGCGTTCCGTGCGCCTTGGCGTCTAGTCAAACCGGCCACATGGCCACGGAAACGTCTTCGGACAGCGCTGGCTCTTCGGCTTGGAAACAGAGATGAGCACCGCAACCCTAGAGTCAGATTCGACTGGCTTTCGAGCAAGGGAAACCTTTGCCTTTACCTTTAGAAGGAAACATTCCCTGGTAGTAAGAAGATCTGCAGATCCAGGTTGTAACACATTGGGCAGCAGACTGAGTGAACCAAAAAAGAAAAAATGGTTTTCCCTGCAGTACGATTTGAAGGGAAACCTTTGCCTTTACCTTTATAAGGAAACAGTCCCTGGTAGTAAGAAGATCTGCAGATCCAGGTTGTAACACATTGGGCAGCAGACTGAGTGAACCAAAAAAGAAAAAATGGTTTTCCCTGCAGTACGATTTGATGCTCATCTGGAAGTCACACGAACACATGAAACTGCCTTGTCTGCTCAGGCTGGCAGTGGCTCTCCAGCCTACCGCCTGGTCCTTTTTAAAATTGGAGATGATGGGGATCGAACCTGGGACCTCCTGCATGCCAGGCAGACCCTCTGCCACTGAGCCACAGCCCGTCCCGAGAGTCCCATCCCAGCACCCAGCACTTACCCTAAGACGATCAGTTCACCATACTTCACTGGTGCTTTTGATGGATGATTTTCTTGATCAGGCGAAAACATGAGCCTAGTTAGTGCCTTTATCTCAATTTCCACTTCTCTGATCAAGAGCCTTGACACACTTTTTTCATTATTTCCTAGAAGAGAGAGCGAGAGAGAGAGAGAAGAAGAGGTTAAGCTCCGAACTGGGAAGGTATCAAAGAAATTAGCCGCAGCCATCAGTTCTGTTAAGCGCAGAGGATTAAGTGAGCCTGTAGACAGGGCCCAAGAGTGGACTGTTAGCCTCATATTTCTTCTCCGCCCATTCATCTGTCGGCTGTGGACTTTCTCTGTTGATTACACCGTCTCCAAAGACCACTGCAGACACATTGCAATGGATTTCATACAGCTGTTTAGCCTAGACAGTTTCCGAGTCATACTAGACAATTCCTTTGTTTTTTAAAAACTTTTTATTAGATTTTCACATATAATACACAGAAGAAGAAGGAGGAGGAGAAGAAGAAGAAGAAGAGATTGGATTTATACCCCGCCCTTCACTCGGAGTCTCAGAGCGGCTTACAAACTCCTTCCCCGCTTACAAACTCCTTTCCCTTCCCCTCCCCACAACAGACACCCTGTGAGGTGGGTGGGGCTGAGAGAACTCTGACACAAACTGCTCTTTTTCAAGGACAGCTGTGCCAGAGCTTGTGACTGACCCAAGGTCACATCAGCAGGTGCAAGTGGAGGAGTGGGGAATCAAACCTGGTTCTCCCAGATTAGAGTCCGCACACTTAACCACTACACCAAACTGGAGGAGGAGGAGATTGGATTTATACCCCGCCCTTCACTACCCAAAGGAGTCTCAGAGCAGCTTACAAACTCCTTTCCCTTCCCCTCTCCCCACAACAGACACCCTGTGAGGTAGGTGGGGCTGAGAGAGCTCTGACAGAAATTGCTGTTTTTCAAGGACAGCTCTTATCAGAACTATGGCTTGCCCAAGGTCATCCAGCAGGTGTAAGTGGAGGAGTGGGGAATCAAACCCAGTTCTCCCACATTAGAGTCTGCGCACTTAACCACTAATTGGGTAGGAAGGGTAAGGGGTAAGGCATATAGGGAAATTCCTTCTAATTTGTATCATAGCTGTTAACAAGTTTCTACTTTTGTTTTGAAGTCTCTTTCTTTTGTGTAATTACTAAAGTTGTCAATCCGTTAGTCCTTTCGCAGAGATTTTCACTCATAGATCCGGGAAAAAAAGAAATGAAGCTTTCCACAGTCCAAGCAAGAGTTTCTCTACGTTTTTGATATTTAAGTTCATTATTCTCGCTCTTCGAGGTTTCTTTCTATCCAGTCATAGAATGGCATACTAGACAATTTCCGAGAGCCATTGTGTGCGGAGGTTAGAGGGCTGGATTAATGTCTCAAAGACCCGGATTCAAGTCTGTTAAACTTGCTGAGTGGCCTTGGACTGGTCACACTCTCTCGGCCTCACCCAACTCACACAGGATTGTTTGGGGGATAAAATAATGAAGGGAACTTGTGGTGTATTCAACTCAATGGAACTGTGTTTGTACTCACTAATTGAAACACCATGTATAGCTTCGTCCTGGGCAAGGATCCTATTGGTAGCCCAGGAAGAGCCGACCAATCACCTACCATCAAGTTCCCTGAGAGGGAACGTCTGTGATTGGACATTATTGTTGCAATCCTATTGGTTGTTACGTACAGTAAGGCGTGGCTACATTAGCCCGGGAGAGTTTAAAAGAAACCCAGCTGCAATGCAAAGCTGTTCTGGTTGTTCTGTTCTGGTTGCGTTCATTAAAGCCGAATCATCACTCTCTGACTCTTTCTTAAGTACCCGACTTAACAGAACTCTCTCTCTTTCTTACCAGAAGTGACATCACTGTGCTTCTGGCAATGTGGGACACTCTGGTATTTGGGCAGAAACTCTATGGCAGAGACCACTTTTACCATAGAGTTTCTGGCCAAATGCCAGAGTGCCGCACATCTCTGGTGATGATGTCACTTCCAGTGCATGCTGATAGTGAGGTTGCTGGTGACGTCGTTGCGAAATCACTGCAATGTTGGCCCAGGCCTCCCCCTGCCGCTGGTAAGTCCCCCGACCGGTCAGCTGTTCGGCAGTGGGGGGTAGGAGCTGGGGGGGAACCCCGTCCCCAGTAAGAGCCTGGAAACCCTCCTCTTTCTCTTTGTTGTGTTGGCCGCATCAGACTACACTACTATGCTATTTGAGTTCAGTGACACCTGACAGCCCAACAAGAGGACATTCCTCCTCCTCTGGATTCTCCTTGGTCGCTTCAGGGTTAAAGTCTTTTAACCACACGTCAGGAAATTAACCACCAGGATCCCGTGGACACCATCCAGTTAGCATTCTAAGCAGCTAAAAAGCATAAATTACATTTTACAACCCTAAGCAGAGATTCATTAAACGTCTCACTGTGGGTTTTTTTTTAAAAAGCTAGAATAAAAGCGTCTTTGTGCCGAAATCACCGTCATTTTGTTTAGACAGAAGCAGCATTATGCGCATTAACAACCGTCGCTAGTAAGAGAGTCGGTCGCCTTCTCTAAAACGTTTTCAGCTGAAAAGAGGTTCCACAGTATATTCATTGAGGGCTTTTTTTTTTTAAAAAAAGGAAAGACCAAACCACACGACCAAGATGTGCCGGTTCAGAAGCAAAAGCCGGAACGTTTGAAGTTTCTGTGCCAGAGTCGTGAAACGAGTTCTCTGTGTACGGACCATGCAACGTGAAAGGATCCCCCTCTGCTGAATTTAGAAACCATTCCCTAACTGGGAAACCCACATCATTGGGTGTGAATAAAAACTCTTCTCGCTGCCATCGATCCGGATCATTGCATCAGTGTGCACCGTGCCGTTGACGCTGATGCGACTGAAGCGCTTCTGTTCACAGAGTTTCAAGCTGGCACCGCTCAAGTTAGGGGTGCCAGCCTCCAGGCGGGTGTGGAAACTCGAGCTGCGGTGTTAGAAGAGTCAAACAACAAATATATACACTGCAAAAACCTTATTTATAAGTTAAAGTGTTCTATATGTTCCATCTTATAAAGTGCATTGTGCTCCGTCTATGATTGTCAGCTGCTGAATGGGCCTTTTGTAGGACCAGCAACAAACATCAATTTAAACTTCAATGTAACCACAAAAGGGAACTTCCCCCTTTAGAAGACTTTCAAGCAAGGAGAAGCGGGTGTACAATTCTAGAAACTCCCGTTGGGGTTGATTGTTGTAAAAAGGATGTAAATTGACTGGTAGCTATTCGATGGTACAAACTGATTATTATTGTTGATACTGCATGTAATGAATACATACCTGTTTTAGAACATTATGAATAATACACAATGCACTTTATAAGATGGAACATATCGAACACTTTAACTTATAAATACATTTTTTTGCAGTGTATATATTTGTCGTTTGAGCCTCCAGGTGGGGCCTGGGGATCCCCCGGAATTACAGCTCATCTCCAGACGACAGAGATGAGTTCCCCTGGAGAGAATGGATGCTTTGGAGGGGGGACTCTGTGGCCTTGTACCCCACTGAGGTCCCTGTCCTGCCCAGGCTCCACCCCCCAAACCTCCAGGAGTTTCCCAACCGGCAGCTGACAATCCTACCTCCCACCCACCCACCAGTGCCCAAAAGGGGGGGGGGCTGGCTGGCAATCCTAGCTATGTTGATTTTACTCAGGGCTTTTTTTGGTAGAAAAAGCCCAGCAGGAACCTATTAGCGTAATTGGCCACACCCAACAGCAGAAACTCATTAGCATATTAGGCCACACCCCGACAGCATGGGTCATTAGCATATGAGGCCACACCCCCGTGTCACCAGAAGTGTGCTCATCCAGCCACACCCACCTTTTGCTTCTTATTCTGTTTACCTTGTTTGTTGTCAAAACCCAGGGC